GGGGGGAAATATTCCTTTGGATTCCAACCTTTAATCTGCCCCTGGCGGGTTCTGTGGAAAGCCTGAGCCCCCTGCTCCTCCTGCAGCAGTTTTTATCCCCAGCTTCCCTCTCCGCTCTGCTCCCAGCACATTCCCAGGGATTAATCCTGGCAGGATTCCTGTTCCACCCTCCTGGCATCCTGAAACCCAAACCCAGTGCCCCCCCAGTGCCCTGGGGATGGGGGGGACAGCAGAGCCACCCCCGGGATGGTTTCTCTTTGAGCCAGGGCCTAATGAGCTCTCAGAGAATTTATCTCACCTGAGACAGCCCAGCTACGCCCTCAATGGCATAAAATGAGCAGGGTGGTGTTGGAAACAGAAAAAGGTTCAATAAAAGGCAAAATAACAAAGGTCTTGCAGAGAAAAACTGAGCCAGGAGTAAGAGGTGCCTGCTCTTGCTAAAACACCTCACAAAAGTGATTATTTCATTTGTTCTCTTCTTTTTCTAGTGAATTACCTAAGCCAGACCTCTTGGCCTCTGTCCAGTGGCAGCCCCAGGTCCGAGGTGAGGTCCCAAAAGTCCTATGAGGTGTCTTTGCACCAAACTGGGAGAGAACTCCTGGGCTTTTGGCCTTTTTGAGCAGACACAGAATAATTTAGGCACTCCATCAATGTGGGGCACATTCCTACATGCCTGCCTGGGCACATCAAAAATCCTCAGTTCTGGGTGGGTGGAGCAGCTGCTTGGACATCCCCAAAATCTCCCATCTTTCATCCCCACAATTTCCCCTCTCCACCCCAAAAATCTGCCCTTCTCCACCCCAAAAATCTCTCCCTCTCCATCCCCAAAATCTCCCATCTTCCATCCCCAAAATTTCCCCTCTCCACCCCAAAAATCTTTCCCTCCCCAGCCCCACAATTTCCCCTTTCCATCCCACAAATTTCTCCCTCTCCATCCCCACATTCTCCCCTCTCCCATCCCCAAAATCTCCCATCTCCCATCCCAATTTCCCCTTTTCCATCCCCACAATTTCCCCTTTTCCATCCCCAAATCCTCTCTGGGGAGGCTCTGCAGCTCAGGGAAGGCACCAGAAGCTGCAGCAGCAGCAGATTTCTCTCCCTTTTATCTCCTCACTCTGGAAAAAAAGCTTAAGGAGACCTGAGATCCCAAAATTAAGGAGGCAGCTGAGGCTGGGGAGCTCGTGGAGTGAGGAGCAAAAATCCTGGAAGCTTCTGGAAGCTCCTGGAAGCTTCTGGAAGCAAACCCTGCACACAGCCAGGTGAGTTTGCACTCAGTGTACCATTTTTATTTTGACATAGATAGATATTTTTATATATTACATCATTTAAAAACAGGTTATTTGTAAAAAACACATGGTTTTGATTTGGTTTTTTGTTCGTTTTTTTGCAGGTCAAAGCCACCCCAGCGTGTCCCACCCAGTGCAAAGGTGACCTGCAGGTCCCTCCTTCCCCCTCCCCGGGGACAATCTGTGCATTCCCCCTCTTCTCCCCATGGAAAAACAAATTTGTGTCCTTGTCCCACCCTTCCAGAGCCACCACAAAGTGTCCCCTCCACCCCGGGGACAGCTGGGGAGGGGACACTGCTCTGGGAACGGGGCAGGGAAGGTGACAGTGACAGCGAGGGGCAGGTATGGCCCCTTCAGCCAGAGCTGCCACCAGCCCTGGGCCACCTGGGCTGGCCAGGGGTGGCTCAGGGTGGCCCAGGGTGGCCCAGGGGTGGCCCAGGGGTGGCTCAGGGTGGCCCAGGGGTGGCCCAGGGGTGGCTCAGGGGTGGCCCAGGGTGGCTCAGGGCCTGGGGAAGGGCTGCAGAGGTGGCTCTGAGCCTCAGGGAGCTGGGACACACTCCTCCATCCAGGAGGGACAGGGTGGCATCAAACATTGCCCTCAAATCGGCTCAGCTGGAGCAAAAAGAGGCTCAAAAGGTGTAAAAAGAGGCTCAGCAGGAGAAAAAATAGGCTCAGGAGGGGTAAATGAGACTCCTTTGGGCTCTCAGCCCTTTTTTCATGCAGCACCCCAAGTTCTGGGATGAATTCCTCCTGGATGGATCCTCCCTAGAGGAATCCTCCTGGAGAATTCTTCCTGGATAAATTCTCCTGGATGAATCCTCCTGGATGAATTCTCCTGGGGGAATTCCTCCTGCCAGCCCAGGAATTTCCTCTCTCTGTGCCCTGATTCCCCTCCTGGGCAGCACCAGGAAATCCCCCAGGCCCCTTTTCCTGCCTGGTGTGGGCTGGCAGGGGCAGTGGGGCACAGCCCCAGTTCAGCACTCCCAGTCCCAGTTCAGCACTCCCAATCCCAGTTCAGCACTCCCAGTCCAGCACTCCCAGTCCCAGTCCAGCACTCCCAGTCCCAGTCCAGCACTCCCAATCCCAGTTCAGCACTCCCAGTCCCAGTCCCAGTTCAGCACTCCCAGTTCAGCACTCCCAGCCCCAGTTCAGCACTCCCAGTCCCAGTCCAGCATTCCCAGCCCCAGTTCAAGCTTCTTCCACCCAGGCAGGTTGGGAGGGCTGAGGGCAGAGGGAGGAGAGGCACTGACATCCTGAGAGGCTCCTCCCTCTGCAAATCCCCTGAGAAAAACGGCTAAAATGGAATTTCTCCTTTGAACAGCACCTCTTGCAAAGTTCTCCCCTCTGTCCTGGGCTCCACTAAGGCTCAGTCGTTTCCCAAAAATCGGAAAAATATCCTTTATGGCCTCACAGCTGCAAGGGGAAGCTTTGGCTGGGAAGTGAGAATTAAATGAGCAGCAAGAGCTCTCCCTGATCCCCTGCAGTTCCAGGAGTGTGTGTGAAGCAGCGAATTAAAGATAATTTTTATTTTTTCCAAGTCCTCCTGGACACAATCCAAACAGAGAACCGACGATGATTTGCCAATTCAGGGGCTGATTAGGTGAAAAAAGGGAAATAACGACCGGTGGCTCGCACCCATCGTGGCCAAAAGGCTCCATCTGGTGGCGTTTGCACCCAAAAAGGAGCTGGGGAGGAGGGGAAGCTGTACCCAATCCAAGCAGAGAACCGACGATGATTTGTCAATTAAGGGGCTGATTAGGAGAAAAAAAGGGAAATAACGACCGGTGGCTCGCACCCATCGTGGCCAAAAGGCTCCATCTGGTGGCGTTTGCACCCAAAAAGGAGCTGGGGAGGAGGGGAAAGCACGGATCGCACTGGTTAAACTGGTTCACAGCAGAGAAATGGCTTTAAACTCGAGCTAAAACTCGAGATGAAACTTCTCCCAAGCTGGGAGAAGAGGTGGCACGATGGGAATGGGAATTTTGTGTGGAAAAAGGGACCTGCAAGGGGACAAAGCAGCCAGGGGGGCTCAGGTGAGCCACAAAAGCTGAATTGTGGCCACAAAACCTGAACTGTGGCCACAAAAGCTGAGCACGGCCAAGCCGTGCTGCCCTGCAGGAGGGGGAACAATACAGCAAATATTTTAATGCTTTTCTCCTGAGCACAGCCCAGAGCATTCCCATCAGGGAAAAGGGAACCTGCAGGAACAGCCAGGAGCAAAATGTCAAGCTCAGATGGGAAGCAGGCTGAAAAATTGGTTATTCTGTTAAAATAAATAAAATAAAAGAGGCAGGGACAGGAGAAATGTGAGAGTTAAAAAAAATCCAGGCTGGTCCTGCTAAGCCTGGGCAGCTGCAAGGGGAGGAGGGCGAGGGGAGGACAGGGAACACCCAGCTTGAATCCCCTGGTTTGCAGAGATCAGGAAGGTTTGGGATGGCAGACAGGAGCCTGTTCCCTCCCTTCCTCACCCCCAAATCACTCAAGCATCAGCCAGGAACAGAACCAGGAACAATCCCTGCCCAGAGGAGCCTGGTGCCTGCAGGGAGCTGCTCCAGGGAGGGGCTGCAGCTCCAGTGGCTCCCAGTAAGAGCCCAGCTGGGGCAGGAGGGGCACGGGGCCACTGCCAGACCAGGAACTCACAGGTTTTAGTGCTGGGGGAGCTGCTGGTGCTTCCCAGGGAGGGCTCCAGGCAGGAGGGTTTTCATGGAAAGGGTTGGGATTGTCCATGGAGAGCTGGGAAAGCTCAAGGGCTGGGAAAGGCTCAAGGGTTGGGAAAGGCTCAGGGGCTGGGAAAGGCTCAGGGGTTGGGAAAGGCTCAAGGGCTGGGAAAGGCTCAAGGGCTGGGAAAGGCTCAAGGGCTGGGAAAGGCTCAGGGGCTGGGAAAGGCTCAGGGGCTGGGAAAGCTCAAGGGCTGGGAAAGGCTCAGGGGCTGGGAAAGGCTCAGGGGCTGGGAAAGGGTCAAGGGCTGGGAAAGGCTCAGGGGCTGGGAAAGGGTCAAGGTTTGGGAAAGGCTCAGGGGCTGGGAAAGGCTCAGGGACTGGGAAAGGGTCAAGGGTTGGGAAAGGGTCAGTTCTGGGCTCAGGAGCAGCAGGAGGGGGAGCAGCCCCCCGGGTTTGTCCCTGCTGGGGTTTCCAGCAGCTGGAGCAGCCAGGGCTGGGATCACTCTGGGACACGGGGATGGAGCTGTCAGGGATGGGGAGGGGGCTCTGCTGCTGCCCCAGGGGCACCACGGGCATTGTCACACACTGCCACTGTGTCGTGGTCACACACTGCCACTGGGGCACTGTGTGCCACATTGTCATTGTCACTGGGGCGTTGTCACTCCCCTCTGCTCCTCCAGAGCAGCCAGGGGGGCCAGAGATGTCCCCTCCCAAGGACACCCCATCCCAGAAATGCCCTATCCCAGAGATGTCCCCTCCTAGAGATGTCCCCTCCCAAGGACACCCCATCCCAGAAATGCCCTATCCCAGAGATGTCCCCTCCCAGAGATGTCCCCTCCCAGGGATGCTCCATCCCAGGGATGTCCCCTCCCAGAGTTGTCCCCCCTCAGCAGCTTTTTGAAGCACCAACCACAACAAGCAGAGCCCCCCCTGTCCCCAGTCCTGTCCTGGGGGTGCAGACCCCAGGCCCTGCAGCAGGAGGGTCCCAGCCCCGAGCTGTGCTGTCTCCTGGAGGTTCCTGGGGTCCCCCCAGTCCCGGGGGCGTGGAGCAGAGCAGGGGGTGCTCGGTGCCCCCCGGCCCCGTGCCCGTGGCCCTCAGGAGGTGAAGAAGCGCCGCAGCACCAGGTGCACCACCACCACCACGGCTGCCACCAGCACGTACTTCACGTAAACATTGTCCAGGTGCTGCACGGCCTCCTGCCAGCGAGGGGACACCGTGGGGTCAGTCCTGCCAGTGTCCTCGACCCCCAAACCTGAGCCCCGGACCCCCAACCCCTGACTCCCCCAGCTGCCAAACCTCCCTAAACCCAAATCTACCCTCCTGACCCCCGAACTATAATCTCCCTGCCCCCAAACCCTGACCCTCAGACCCCAATCCCTGACTCCCCCAGATGCCCTGCCCCCCCTAACCCCAAACCCTGCCCCTTGCCCAAAAAACTATAACCCCCCTGACCCCAAAACTGCCCCCAAACGCTGCCCCTTGTCCCCAAAGCTGCCCCCAAATTTGCGCCCGCTCACCCATCCTCCCTGCTGGGCGATCCAGCGCGCGATGCGGTTCTGCAGCATGAAGTCGCCCACGTAGCGCGCGATGCGGCGCAGGAAGCCGCCGCCGCCGCGCTGCCACACGTGCATGGCCAGGCGGTAGCCGAAGGCCAGCAGGGCGATCACCCGGCCCCAGTTGATGCCACTCTCGAACAGGCTGCAACAAAGGCCAGCAGAGCCCTGAATCCCTGCCCGCAGCTGCCCAGGCCATGTAGCCGTGATATTTTAGTGAAAAATCCTGGTCAGTGTCATGTAGCCATGATATTTTAGTGAAAAATCTTCTGCTAGGATTTTTCCTGTCCTGAGATGCTGAGAGCCTCAGGAAATAAATGTAAACAATAACTGTGTGCTGCTGTGGAATGCAACAGGTGTATCTTTCATTAGTCCATGTGGATTGTTTTTAATTGATAACCAATCACAGCCACCTGTGCCAAGGCTGTGAGCAGGCACAGGATTTTGCTATTGATTTCTATTCTATTCTTGTCTTTGTAGCCTTCTAATCTTCTTTTCTCTCTGTTCTTTTTGTATAGTTTTAATGTAGTATTTTAATATAATGTATAACATAATAAATCAGCCTTCTGATGAAAATAGAGTCAAGCCTCGTGTCCTCACACAAGGGGTCTCAACTTAGACAAGAATGTCGCTCTGATTTTGTTAAGATTTTCTAAGCCTTCTGATGTTTATGTTCTTGTAGCAAATTTTTCACCACTTTCTGTAAACAACTCAGTGTTTTGCATTATTTTATAGAAGGAGAGAAATTTGATGGGCTGTTGGTTTGGCCAGTGTCATTGGAGAGGTGGCACTGTCACCCTCCAGTCCACTGTCACCTTTGGAAGTCTATAAATGTTGGAGACAGATAATAAACTTCCCCTTTTCTACCTTGAGAACAGCAGCGTGTTTGCTTTGTGTTGTTTCACATTCCATAGTGACAGGTCAGCATTGAGGAAATAGCCCCAAATTGTACCAGGAAAAGCTTAGCTTGGATATTATAGAAAATCTTTCTATGCGAGTTGAGAAAAGTGACTCAGAAATGGGGCTGCACTCAGAATTTTCCATGGGAATCCAAACATTCCTGGGAAAAATGCAGCTCCCCAGCAATTTGCAAATTTACCTGAGTGTGACAAAGGTTAATTTACATGAGTGTGACAGGGACAGGGACAGGGGTTAATTTAATTTACCTGAGTGTAACAGGGACAGGGGTTAATTTAGTTTACCTGAGTGTGACAGGGACAGGGGTTAATTTAATTTACCTGAGTGTGACAGGGAAGGGACAGAGGTTAATTTAATTTACCTGAGTGTGACAGGGACAGGGTTAGTTTACCTGCGTGCGTTGCCGCCTCAGCCAGCGTGGCTGCCCGGACAGGGGAGCAGGAAAAGGACAGAAAGGAAGGAGTTAAACACTGGAGAAAAGAAGGAATTAGACACAAACACCGAGCAGAGGGCACAGGGACAGGGCTGTCACAGCCAGAGGTGTTTGGAGGAGTGACAGGAGCCCAGAGACCCGTCCTGCCCGTGCCTGACCAGGGTGACATTTCCCTGCAGACAGAACCCCACGGTGCCACCTCGATCCAAGCTTCCCTGGGAAGTCCTGGCAGGAAGTTTTGCAGCTCTGTGCCCTCACTCCTCACCTGTGGCTGTGCTTTGGGTGGCTGTCACCTGCAGGAGCCTCTGGGTGTCACCTGCAGGCTCTGGGTGTCACCTGCATGCTCTGTGTGTCACCTGCAGGCTCTGGGTGTCACCTGCAGGCTCTGGGTGTCACCTGCAGGCTCTGCCAGCCCGTGGAGCAGCCCCCATTCCGAGGTGTCCATGAGGACCGGGTTGGGTGGGGACTCTGAGCCACCTCATCTCGTGTGTGGCATCCTGCCCATGGCAGGGGTAGGGCTGAGATGGTCCCTCCTGACCCAACCATTCCACAATTCCATGATTTCTGTGACCATCCCACCTGCAGATGTGGAGTTGTGGCTGGGGCTGTTCCCTGGGATGTCCCAGCCTGGAGCAGGGGACAGCAGGAGCTGGTTGTGCCCTGCAGGTTGATCTGGGACGGGCAGGGCCAGGTACCCCAGGGACACCCCCTGAGGGACCCCAGGCAGCTGGGAGGGGACAATGACAGGAGCAGTGCACAGGAGGAGGAGCAGACAGGCAGAAATCACAGGAATCACTCTGGGAAGCTCGCTGGGATCTCAGCCAGGGCTGGAGGGTGAAGCTCAAACGGGCAGAGCGTGGGTTTATCCAAACAACCTCCCCTTCCCTTCTCCAGGGAGAGCCCCCGCCCCAGGCAGGAGCTTTACCTGGAGGCAATTTTGGTGAAGTGCTCGTAGGCGTTGTCGCGGCTGGGCTGCAGGCTCTCCAGCATGGTGCGGAACTCGGCGTCGTAGCGCCTGTAGATGTCGTCCCCGATGATGGCCAGGCGCTGCCCCACCTGGCTGCCGGTGCTGCGGGCCCGGGAGAGTCAGGCCGGGCTCGGGCCACGGCCTGGCTCGGGCTCAGGGTGGCAGCGGGGCTTTACCTCTCCAGGTCCTGCTGGATTTGCTCGATCTCGGGGTCGGGCGGCAGCTCGGCGCCGCGCTCCTGGCGCTCCTGCTGGTAGCGGTAGAAGGCGTAGCTGCGGAACACCTCCTCGGCCTCCTCCGCCACGCGGCCTTCTGCGGGGACACGGGACAGCGCTCAGGGCACGCGCATGCCCCTCCGGCCTCAAATGTGGAAGAGGTTATTCACACAGGACCCACTCCAGACCCACACATGTCCCCACAGAACCTTCTCCAGACCCACACATGTATGCCTGTCCCCACACAACCCTCTCCAGACCACATAGTTGTTCTACACCCACAGAATCTTCTCCAGACCGACACATGTCCCCACAGAACCTTCTCCAGACCCACACATTTGTTCTTGTCTCTACACAACATTCTCCAGACCAACACGTATCCCTGTCCCCACTCAACCATCTCGAGGCCCACTCCAGTGTCCCTACACCCATAGAACCTTCTCCAGGCCCACACATGTCCTCACAGAACCTTCTCCAGACCCACACGTGGTCCTGTCCCCACATAAATATCTCCAGGCCCATACAACCATCTCCAGGCCCACTCAGGTGTCCCTACACCCACAGAACCAACTCCAGACCCATGCATGTCCTCGCAGAACCTTCTCCAGACCCACACATTTGTTCTTGTCTCTACACAACCTTCTCCAGACCAACACATGTATCCCTGTCCCCACACAACTCTCTCCAGGCCCACTCCGGTGTCTCTACACCCACAGAACCTTCTCCAGGCCCACACACATGTCTCTGCACCCTCACAACCCTCTCCAGACCCACACATGACCCCGGCCCCTCATAAACATCTCCAGACCCACACAACCCTCTCCAGACCCACTCAGGTGTCCCTACACCCACAGAACCATCTCCAGACCCACACATGTCCCCTCACAACCCTCTCCAGACCCACATGTGGCCCTGTCCCCACATAAACCTTCTCCAGACCCACACGTGGCCCCATAGAACTTTCTCCAGACCCATATGTGTCCCCACAAAACCTTCTCCAGACCCAAACACGTGTCCCTGTCCCCACACTGCTCAGGGACACGGGAGCATTTCAGCCCCACGGTGACAGATCCCTCATCACACACATTCCATGGCTCCAGGAAAAGTCCCCACGGGATCTCCTGGATCGAGCTCGGTCTGAGCTGCTCCAGAAGCACCTGGAGAGGGACAGTGGCTCCCACAGCCCCACTGAGTGACCCCACAGGGACCAGGAACACCAAACTCTGTCCCACCATCCCAGAATTCCAGACTGGCCATCCAGCTCTCCAGAATCTGTATTCCAAGCTGAGATGTTCTTGCCCAGGGCTGGGAAGTGAGGGCACAGCTGTGCTGGCAGTGCTGCCCCCCAGACCCCATCCCCAAATTACTCCAAATCCTCCTCACAGGCTTTTCCACCTCCCTGTCCCGGCTGGACCTGCCGTGCTCAGGTTGCACCAGCAGAGCTGAAGGGAAAGGACAGCTCCTGTCACTTCCCAGGGGTTATTTTCTGTTTTTAGACACGGGTTTGGGGGCAAACAGACCTCCAGATTTCCCCTCTCCTTCAACTTTTGGGAACTGGAGTCTGTGATATTCCAGGGAGAACCAGAAAATGAAAGTAACTGAGTCAGAGTTTCAGGGAGAGGAGTGCAAACACACAGCCAGACACAAGAGGAAATCTCTGCACCAAAAAAAAATAATCCCTGGAGCAATTTTTAGTAACACCAGGACAGGATGATTCCCCCTTCCCACAGGTGCTACCCCCACTGGGGTTGTCTTGGGATCTCTCCCACTCAAGGGATCTGGGTCAGGGTTTGCCTGGTGGGTTCCCAGTGCCAAGGGCAGGTTTGGAGCTGCTCAGGGATCTCTGGAAGGAAGGAAGGAAGGAAGGAACTGCTCCGTGTCTGCCCAGGTGATTTACCCTCCTCACCTGCCCAGCAGCACCAGGAGTCACCGTGTCCCACCCTTCATCCTGCTGGGATGAGCTCAGGGTTTTTCCTGTCAGCCCCATTCCCAGTTTCACCCATTAACCAGGGCTGGGCTGGGCTGGGCTCACATGGGGACAGTGGCCCTGCTCCCAGCTTGTCACCACGGCCCTGCCCGGGCACACAGGACCTGATGTCACCCCAAGGCCACCTGGACTGACTGAGATCTGTGTTTTCCTCCATGATTCAAGCCCCAAACCCCTCCCACTCTCTCGTGCTCAGGGAAGTAAATACACAACACCAGGCAGCACTTTGTTCTCTCCATGCCTCCAATCCCACCTTGCTGCCCACCCTGACCATCCAATGCCAAGCACACAATCCTTGGTTATTTTGGATGGAAAAGAACCTCAAACCTCGCCCCGTTCCACCCAGGGGACCAGGATGCTCCGAGCCCCCAGCACTGCTCCTCCCAAAAGCGCTGAGCACCTCCCAGTTCAATCCAGTTCCTCACAGAGCTGATCTGTTACCCCAGCCTTGCGAAAAGCCCTGGAGACAGGAAATCCCACCTCGCCAAAGGAACACAGCAGGGAAATTAATAAAAAAATAAAGGTTTGAAGAGGGGAGCTCCCCTGAGCACCCCAGAACCCTTTACCTGAGCTGAGCCTGTGGCTTCCCCGGCGTCCCCGCGCCTGCGGAGGGTCCCCCTCATTCCCTGAGGCCATTGCAGAGAGGTTTGGGAATGGCAGCTTCACCTGGAAGGGTGATGGAGATGGTGAGTGGCCGGAGCCCTGTGGTCCTTCACAGCCCAAGGATCAGAGCTCACTGCTTTTATCTGTTCCAGGGCTGGGTGGCTCCTCCCTCAGCACACTCATTCTGTGCTCCTAGAAATTCTGAAAACTCACTCCACTTCCACCTCCCTGGACTTCCCCTATGGTGAAGTGATTTTTTTGCCACAAAAAGTGACTTTCCACTTCTAATGGACTTCCTTCCTCCTTCAAGAGACGCGTGTGGTAGCTCAGATCCCCGAGCTTCATAAAAGGCTTGAAGAATAATTCCAGCACCTCTGAGGCTCCCTGGCTGTGCCCACTCTGAGTTGCCCTGATAACACCTTCACAAGATGAGCCCTGATTTCCTCCAGGACTCCAACTGCCTCTAACTCCCCTTGTTCTTTACATTTACCCTCTCAGAAAATAAAAAAATTAAATGAGAGCTAAACACAAACTTCCCTGAAGTTTGTAACCCAAACCTGCAGTTCAGGGCTCATCAGAGCTCCTTGAGGCCACAAAGTTCCTGTCAGGATTAACGGGATCAGGGCAGCTCCTGGCTGCTGCCTGACATTCCAGAGCATATTCCCAGCCCACACGTCCACAGGGCTGAGCTGGGGGCTTTCCTGAATTTCCACCAAGCCTGAACTCACGGATGAAACACAGTTCCTGACACCCCAGAATTTAAACTGCACCCTGGACAAAAATGAAGAAGTGCTGGGTAGGGGCAAATAACCACCCATGGGTATGGGAGAAGTGCACAACGTGGTTCAAGCTCATGGCATCACACTGGAGATGGTTCAGAAGGAAAAAGAAACGTGAGACAGGAAGACAGCCCATCCCTGTGGGATGGGGCCTGGAAGTGCAGAGCTTAAAAAACCACGAGGCCCTGCACGGCTGCAGAGGGGCCTGAGCCTGGCGACCAGCATGGAAATGCTGGTTTTTCCTACACTCCGAGGATGGGAGGACAGGATTTCCCACTTCCTCCCCAAACTCCAACATCCCCACCCAAGACGGAGCTGAGAATGCAGTGAGGATCATCAGCTGGGACCAGGGTAAATCCCTGGGGAGAGCTGCTGGCCACTCGGCCAGATCAGCTCCAGCGCTGCCTCTCCTGGCCCTCAGAGTCACAGAATTCCTTGTCCTGGGATGGTGTCCATCCCCTGGGATGTGCAGATCCCTCGGATGGTGTCCATCCCCTGGGACGGTGTCCATCCCTTGGATGGTGATCATTCCCTGGGATGGTGTCCATCCCTTGGATGGTGTCCATCTCCCCCTCCACTCAGGAGCCTCCTGAGCTTCACCCTCTGCCATCCCAAGCCATGGCTGAGCCCACCTGCACTGGGAGGACTCAGAGCTGTTCCCAAGCTGGGAGCAGCCCCTTGGAGCTGTGGGGATCTCCTCTGTACCCCACAGTGGCACTGCTCGGGTGGCACAGGACACTGGCAAGGGTGTGGGGGCACCCAGCAAAGAGCTCAGGAGCCTCTGGAGCTTTTCCAGCTCGGCCTGTGGGGCAGGGGGCTGTGCCCACAGCTGCCCAGGGCTGACAGGGACTTTCCTGCCTGGCATGAGCGAGTGAGGAGTGAGGACTTCCTGCAGCACCACATAACCCAGATGTAGATGACTCATGATGTACATACAACTTGCATTTCGTTTTCGAAGCCCTGCAGGAATTTGTGCTTTCGTTTTCCTTCTGGGCCCTGCCAGCAGTGTTTCTTCTGTCACACATGATGTTGCAGCCCTGTCACTGCTGTCCCCACCCTCTGCCGGCCCAAGTGTCCATGTGCCCTCCCAAAAGAGTTCTCTGCAGGGCTCGGAGTGCCTCAGGCCATCCTCTCCAGCTTCCAGAGCTGCTGCCCCTGCTCCTCCTGCTTCCCAGCTTCCTGCTCCCTCTTTGTTAGGAGAACCATGCAGGAGAACAGGGGAGGGTGTGAAGGGGGAGATGACACCCAAACACCCCGAGACATTTCCTGGGGCTGCAGGAAATGAAAACCCTCCAAGACTTGAGTCATGGCTCAAGGGAGGGTGTCAGGAGAGCTGCACGGTCTCCTCCACCCTACGAGGCTGCAAGGGGTTAAAAGCAGCTGCAATCCCTATATCCAGGCCCAGCCGCGGGGCTCTGGAATCACCCCCTGACATGTTATGAATGCCAGGAAATTGATGGAGCATCCCCTGGGACGAGTCTTTGGCAGCGATCCCTGCCGGGCCAGAGATCCCGCAGGATTCCTGACCCCATCCCTCCCCCCCGGACGGGGGGACCAGGGCCGCTCCTCCCCCAGGGCAGCAAAATTTGGCCAGTTTTGGGGTTACCCAGTTCGGGGGCTGCCCAGTTTTGGGGTTACCCAGTTCGGGGGCTGCCCAGTTTTGGGGTTACCCAGTTTGGGGGCTGCCCAGTTTTGGGGTTACCCAGTTTGGGGGCTACCCAGTTTTGGGGTTACCCAGTTAGGGGGCTGCCCAGTTCGGGCGCTGCACAGCTTTGGGGTTGCCCAGTTCGGGATTTGCCCACCCAGGGTGGGCACACGACCCCCAGCACCCACCCAGCCACGGTCGCCCCAAGCCGTGCCCGTGTCCCCGGTGTCACCCGTTCCCCGGCGGGGACAGCTCTGCCCACCCGATGTCCCCTCCCTGAGCCCTTCTGATGCCGCGAGCACTGTCACCACCGCGGCGTAAAAAAAAAAAAATCGGTTAAACGAGGGGAAATTCCCTTTTTGGGGCAGGTAAATCCCCTCTTTTGGGCAGCGACCCGCCCGGAGCGAGACCTCCAGCCCTGCCCCGGAGTTTCCCGCAGCCAGCGCGTTCCCTGAAGAGCCACTTTGTCCTTGTCACCCCTGCCGCACCCCGCACCCCGCGGCTGCCCGTCCATCCCTGCCCATCCCGGAGGAGCGGGATAACCCATCCCGGGAGAGCCTGGGGAGGGGGAACCGGGGCTGCCCTGGCCACTCACCGCGTCCCGGCGGGGAGCAGCGGGCCGGGGTATCCCGGGAGCTACGGCATCCCTGCCGCGATCCGCTCCATCCCTGCGGCCGCTCCCTTCCTGCCGGAGCGCGCCGCGGGCAAAGGAAACGCGCGGGGAGGAGGAAGAGGGAAAAGAAGAAGAGGAAAAAAAAAAATCAAGTAGAAACCCAACCCCAGTGACCATAGAGAGCCAGATAGAGTCTATGCGGAGCCGCGCTTGATTCAGCTCCCTCTAGAGGCACCAACCCCGGCGCGGGGCAGGGCCGAGAACCGGGGTTTTTTTGGGGGGTTCTGGGCGCTCCTCGGGGGTTCAGGGGAGGCTGAAGCATCTCCCGGTCCCTGCGCGGCTCGGGGGGTGCCGGGTGCGGGGTTGGTACCGTGCCACCCCGTGCCCTCCTTGCCGGGCTCTCCTCGGCTCCTCCCTGGCTTTTCCAGAGGTTTTTGGAGCTTTTCCTTGCGGCTGCGCCTTTAATTCTTAATTTCTTAAATTCTCCCTCTGCCGGGTTCCCCGGCTGAGCGCCCGGTTAAAGTAACGATTTGAGTTTCTTTTCCCTGGGAGGGAACTTGTGTCGATCCAGCAGGAAATAAAAAAGTCACCAGTGGCAGAGGCGGCTCCAGCCAAGTGTTCAAATAATTCGAAATCCGCGGAGATTTGGGGGAAATCCCAGCAGCTCGGGGAGAGAGATTCAGCCCCGGAGGGTTCAGCAATCTGCCCCGGCTGATTTTCCTCTCCTCGCTGCTTGGGCCACTGCCAGGGCGGCTGCTGGGGCTGGAAAATGCCAGATAAGCAGCGGAGCTTGGGGGCTGGCAGAGCCTGAGCGCTGATTATCGCATCACCTACCTGCCCGATGGCAGCAGCGCTCCGAGGGCCCCCGGGACCGCCTCTGCCCCTGAGCCAGATATTTTGGGGTTTTTGGCTGAGCTTTTCCAGGGAAAACCGGCCCCTGGCTCCCTCGGAGGTTTGGGGATACGGCCTTGGACACCCTGCTGAGGTGTGAAATCAGCTGCTGGAGGGACAAAAAAAGGATTCCCACCGTGGCTGTCCTTCAGAGGAGGAAGATCACGGAGTGAGGAATCAGCTCGTGGGGCTGTGCCCACCAGGCTGGCAGCAGGGGGGTCCCGAGCAGCTTTGTCCCGTGTCACTGCAGCCACCTGGACACCGCGGGGGAAACTCTGCCCTGCCCGAGGCTGCAGCTCTGGAAAAACACCCCGAGGGGCCCAGGGAGCAGCAGGTCCTGGTGTCACCCCTGCAGGGCGACACAGGGTGACAGGAGTGGCAGGAACCACTGCCAGGAGGGATGGAGGAGGTTTGGTCTCCCTGTGGCCTCATCCAGACCCCCTGGCTGTGCTGTTCCCACAGGGATGGGCCCCAGCAGCTCCGGGTGCCCATGGGGAGGGTGGTGCCAGCCCTGAGCCAAAGCTCTCCGTGCACTCTGATGCTGGGTGGGAGAAGCAGCAGCTCCTGGAGGTGAGGGGAGGGCTCAGAGGGAAGGGAAACCCCCCTCACCCTTCACTCGAGGGCTGCTTGGTGTTGGGGGGAGGGTCCTGAGGAGTGAGTGGACGTGGAAGGCTGAGGCACCCCCCAAATTCAGTGTCCAGCATGCCTGGAATGGGCCCCTTAGCTGTGGAATATCTGGAGCTGGAATATGAGGATCCTCTCTCAGCCACTCCTGAGGGGAGTTCAATTCCCACAGGAACTGGGAGGTGACACCCAATGCACATGACACACGGGAGGTGACAGCTCGGGGGGGTCACTGTCCTTGGTTTTGGGCTCGTTTTGGTCAGCAGGGGAAGGTGCAGGCCCCCAAAAGCAGAGGTGTCCCCGGGAAGAGGCTCTGGCACACGAGCAGACAGCGAAGGGCTGAGCTGGGTGAGGGGATGGGGGGGGGGGATGCTCTGAGGAGGCTCCCAGGCCTTGGAGAAGGTGTAAGACTGGAGAACCACGAGCAAAACTGATCCCAGCTCTGCCCTCCCCCCCCACCCAGGGCTGTCCTGAGGTGATTCCATCCCTCCGTGGCCCTTCCCAGCTGAGGAGGGAATTCCCTTGGGATGTGCTGGTGAGCAGCCCCTGGCTTTTCGGACTGCTTGGCCCATTGGTGACATTGGGGGGGGGGGGGATGCTCTGAGGAGGGCTCCCAGGCCTTGGAGAAGGTGTAAGACTGGAGAACCACGAGCAAAACTGATCCCAGCTCTGCCCTGGCCCCCCAGGGCTGCCCTGAGGTGATTCCATCCCTCCGTGGCCCTTCCCAGCTGAGGAGGGAATTCCCTTGGGATGTGCTGGTGAGCAGCCCTTGGCTTTTGGGACTGCTTGGCCCATTGGTGACATTGGGGACATCAGCCCCGTGCCACGGAGCATTCCAGGAGCTCTGGGTGATGAAATGGCCGCGGCAGGGGAAGGGTGGAGCAGAGGGAAGGTTTTCTCCCAGCTCAGCTGCTGGTGTCAGTTCCATCAGGACGGAGCTGCTGGGTGTCAGCACTGGCATCGTCTCTGCCCGGCTCTGCTCCCCCTGCAGGCTCCCGGGGTGGGAAGGGAGCAGGAATCGCTCCCGAGTGGGGCTGCAGAGAGCCCTGGGGTCTGCTGCTGCTCACGAGGTCAGCCAGGACAGAAATCCACTGCCAGGGGCAGGGCTGGAGAGGATTCCAGCAGGAATTCCTCCCCGTGAGGCCCTGGCACAGGGTGCCCAGAGCAGCTGGGGCTGCCCTGGATCCCTGGCAGTGCCCAAGGCCAGGCTGGAGCAGCCTGGCACAGTGAGAGGTGTCCCTGCCATGGCAGGGGTGTCACTGGATGGGCTTTAAGGTCCATTCCAAGCCAGCCGAGGATTCTGTGGTTCTGAATCTCCTCGGAGCACCAGGTGGCACTGTCCGACTTCCCAGCGAGCCGAGCTGAGCCGGGCTAACCCGGCTGGGAGACGCAGACACCGCTGGCTCCCGGGCCAGGGGACAGCGGGGACAGCGCCATGGGACAGCGAGGGACCGGCTCAAGGGGTTTTTTGGGTTTTTTTTGGGTGGGTGGATTCACCTCCCTCACCCTCAGCAAATCCCAGAATGGTAAAAACCCCACCCAGCAAACCCCTGCTGTTGGTCAGGTTTATCCCAAAGTTCCCTCTGGGGGTCCCGAGGGGGACAGGGCACCTTTCCCCTGTCCCCACACCGGGGTGTCACCCTGTGCTGGCTCTGGGCTCTGCAGGAGCACAGAACGTGAGGCTCCAGGCAAAGCAAAGTGCTTCTCACCCGCAGCAGATTTATCAAATTGATTAAAACCCCACCGGCTCCAGGCCTGGCTGCTGCACAGCTCCTGGAGCTGGTTAATCACGCTGGGTTTGGGAGCCCAGAGCAGCCAGCACAGCCAGCTCGTGTTTCCAGGCATTGGAAGAGCTGCCGGGCTGTTTAGGACAAAATTCCTCACAAATCCACCTTTGATAATCTTCTGTACAAACACGGGAAGGGGGAGAGGCTGCGGGAGGGCTGAAAAATCCACTCAGGTAAGAAATCCAATGCATCCTGTGCTGGGGGCGAGTCCTGAGGCTCAGCAGCCTGGAAAGGCTCCCAGATCCTTGGGAAATATCCTGAAAGAGCCTTGGGAAAGGATCCTTGGGAAAGGTCCTGAAAGATTCTTGGGAAAGGTCCTGAAAGATTCTTGGGAAAGGATCCTTGGGAAATATCCCGAAAGAGCCTTAGGAAAGGTCCTGAAAGAGCCTTGGGAAAGGGTCCCTGGATCCCAGAGCATTCCCAAACCCCAGAGCATCCCCAGCTCTCAGAGCATTCCCAGCCCTCAGACCATTCCTAGATCTGAGAGCATTCCCAACCCTCAGAACATTCCCTGCCCTCAGAACATTCCTAGTTCTCAGAGCATTCCCAGACCCCAGAACATTCCCAGACCCCAGAACATTCCCAGCCCTTGGAGCATTCCCAGATCCCAGAGCATTCCCAGATCTGAGAGCATTCCCAGCCCTCGGAGCATTCCCAGCCCCCTGAACATTCCCAGCCCTCAGAGCATTCCCAGCCCTCGGAGCATTCCCAGTCCTCGGAGCATTCCCAGCTCGGTCACGGGCCGGAGGAGCTGCTGGCAGCTCGGCCGGGGCTAATCTGGGAATTGTATGCCAGGAAGGGCACACCCAGCCGGGACAAAGGCTGCGCTCCACGCTCCAGCGCTCCCGGGCTTCCCCCTGAGCGCCCCGGGGCTGCTCCGGAGCCGTCCCTGGCCTCGCCCGGGGCTTGGGCACCTGCTCCAGGTGTGGGGACAGAGTTTGGGGACGCCGTGAGCTGCTGGATGCTTTCCCAGCCGCCTCGTGCTCCTGCCCATCCCTGGGGAACGTCACAGGATGGGGATGTAGCACCCAAACTGCCCTGGCCAGCCTGAAACCGGGGCTGTGAGAGAAATGCACAGCCTGGTCACCCCCAGGGTGTTTAATCTGGACCCTGACAGTGCCAAATTCACTCAGCCATCGTTGTTTTCCTGTCCTGGCAACAACCCCTTCCCATGATGCCTCCCCGGGTACCAAAACTCTCCGTCCTTGACACATCCTTAGAAGCCTTGAGCTCCAAATAGACTCCAGGCTGTGCAAAACCGCCCGAGATTTCCCGAAGCTGCAGAAAATGTGGGGGTTTATTATTAGCGCTCAGCCTGCGCCAGGCCAAGTGTCAGACACCACGGAGGTGTCGGGAGGAAGGGTTTGACCCGGCTGAGTCACTGCAGGGCAGCTCCTGAGGGAACAGCTGGTGTCATCTGCTGGGAGGAGCCTGGCAGGGGACAACCAGGCCTTTGCTCAGTGTCACTGTTCTCCTTGTCCCCGTGGGAAGCAGAGATGCCTGGCCGGGCTGTGCTGGGGAGCTGCTGTGCCCTCGGAGGTCACTTGTCACCCTGGCGCACCTGCGGTGACGCTGCCACGTCCTGCTGGCGGTATTTTAGGGTGGTTGTTTACAAACAGCGCCGTGGCGCGAGAGCAGGGGGAGCTGCTCACGGACTGTGAGGGAGGAAAAGCCTCTGCCAGCCTCGCCGGCTTCCCCTGCGCTTCTGGAAAACCGGGATCCAGCTGCGGAGGTGGATGGGCTGGTGGGATGGCTCGATCCTGTTTCCATCACCCTCCAGCTGCGGAGGTGGATGGGCTGGTGGGATGGCTCGATGCCATTTCC